GGAATGAGAGACTTTTTAAAGGTGAGACATTTAGTTTGTTTAACACCTGTTACTGTTTACTGTTTGTCATGGATGTCTGGGATTATGTTGATTATAGCAGGATTAATGGTTTGCCGGGAAGGTGTGTTGAAACTGGAGTGTAGAAAAAATGAACAAAAACAAATCAGACACACACACACACACACACACACACACACATACATATATATATATATATATATATATATATATATATATATATCCAAAAAAGTGATATAAAGAGAAGAAAAAAAGCTTAAAAATAATCCATGTAATGTCCTCCTCAAATACTCTAACTTTAACTGAACACATCAACGAATGGTAAAAATGAAGATAATATCCCAGCACGAATATTCTTTCCTCATATAACCTGGAGGAATTACTACATCCTTTAACCCATTAAGTACATTTCTATCTAAATTTTAGGCCTACTTTTTTTTTTTTAAAGTGGGTTTATTTCTAGGAAATTCTAGTAGTTCCCCATAACTCTGTTTGCCTGGGGTTCTGTGACGTGACCAAACTAAACTGGTTGTTTGGGAGACATGCCAGCAACACACAAAAAAAGAAAACTCAGAGCATTTTCTCTCCTTATTGGACTGGAACTGAATGTTCTGGGCTGATAACGATCTAATTGAGCTTTCCAGCAACAAGAATGCATAAAGCCCTTTATAACTGTCTTGAGGCATGGTGGAGGATCTATCATGCTCTGGACCTGTTTCTCATTGTAAGTTGCAAGACATTATAACACAAACATACACACACACCAAAAAAAATTTGAATTTTGTGAACTTTTCCTGTAAGCTAATTAAAACAGTGGCTTCCAATTAATTGCTATTAAAGGATAATATAAGTTATTTTTAGAAGTTAAGAATCTATATCAATAAATATATATATATATATATTTATATAGAGATATAGATATGGATATAGATGTATAGATATATCTATCTCTATATATAGATAGATATATGAACATATATCTATAGATATAAGTCTAGAGAGAGACAGAGAGATTGAATACAGTTTCGCTCTCCAATGTTTACATACCAGCTGCCAGTAAAGTGACAAAAGTAACAATTTGTGTATGTATATATGTATGTACATATTAAGAAATTAAACAAGATGGAACCAAAAATTTTGTTGAGCAACACTTTAAGGCAATCATTGAAATCAGGTGTTTCCTGTAATGTTCAGGAAATGTTCAGTTAGACTTTTGCACCTGTTTACAGGTATGTTGCTTCATTGCTCATAAGCAAGGTATTTAAAATTTTCTGGGACAGTTTGTTTTGGGTAGAATACATTTTTAAATAAAATAAAACCTTGAACTGAAAATTCTAAATCAATATTTTATTTTACAAAATTATAATTTATTCAGTGGGGAAAGCCCTTACATCCCCTTACAGGTATGGTGGAGGAACTGTGGTGCTGTGGGATCTTTTATCACTCAAAAGCACTTAGAATCTAAAAAAAAGTGCAAAGACTGATATAATTCCCAGGACTGTTTGAAAGCAATCTGATCAGCTCCGCCACTCCACTTCAATCAAGGTTTCATGGGTCTTTGCTGGTCTAATGTTTGCAGACATATTTCATTGGGCATAATACCTTTCTCTTATAAGTTATCCCCAAATAAATAAAAATGGTTGTGGGAGAAACCTATGCAAGGTTTCAAGAGATATACTCCCAACTTACTAGAAATTATACTCCCAGAGAGACACAGTTAGTCTTGTCTTGTCTTGTCTGTGTCGTCCTAAAATGGTCTTTTACATTTTTTATTTATGCAATATTTAAGAAGTATTATATAAACAACCTGGACATTTGATTAAATTAGGTCTTGGTAAACTGGGCACTTAAAAAATGGCTGTTAGTATAGGGTGGGATTCATGGAACCACTGCTAATGGCTGCCAACAGGCATTCCAAGATTGTTTCCAGTTTTTTTTACTTAATAACAATTCTGCTCTCTATGTTTTTTTATATATTTTGTTGACCCTATTTTATTTAAAGTAGTTTTATTCCTACTGTGTGTTTGTTACAGTACATGGTGCGTTGTGAGTTATGCAGAAGCCTATCTCTGAATAAGAATGAGCACCACTGATGGACCTGGGACCCCTGAGCCTGATGAAGAATCCCGTGTTGTGCAGATCTACCCCAGGCTACCCTTGGAGACAGAAGCATACTGTCCCCTGCAGGTCGGCATAAAGGACACAGCCAAAACTGTGATCCACAATGCTGTGGTCACGCTGGACCTGGATTCCAGCCAGAACTACAGCTTGCTGGAGGTGAGGAAGGAAGGCAGCGAGGAGAAGCTGCTCCAGGATGGTGACTCCATTTTGCCACGAGTGCTGCTGTGGCCCTCGGAGACCCAGAGGTGGCACCCTCGTAGCCAGGGGTTCTACTTTATCCTGCAGCAGAGCAACAATGGAGCTAAGCAAGTAGGAACTTCCAAAGAGGACTCTGATGACCTCTGTAACCTCTCCTCTGTCACAGAGGAGGCGGTCCTGCAGGTGTTGCGCCAACGCTTCTTAGAGCACAAAATCTACACCTACATCAGCAACATCCTCATCGCCATCAACCCCAATAAGTTTTTACCTCTTTATTACAACCCGAAGTATGTCAAACTGTATGAGAACCAGCCGCTGGGCAAACTAAGTCCCCACATTTTCGCCATTGCCGACGTGGCCTTCAGAACCATGCTGAACAGGCAGGTGAACCAGTGCATCATGATATCTGGCGAGAGCGGATCAGGGAAGACTGAAAGCAGCAGCTACCTCATCCACTGCCTGACCACACTCAGCCGGGGGACATATTCAGGCGGGCTGGAGCGAGCCATTCTAGGAGCCGGACCAGTGTTGGAGGTAGGTCACTGCTACACTAAGGTCTTCTCACAGGCTGAAAATGAAGGAGAGAGATGACAGTAAAAGCACAGAAATATTTAGGTTGATATTACTTTATAGCTAAAGAAATGTATTATGGCTCCTGCTCAGGGTGCCACATAGTAAAGGGAATAACAAGCATATGTAAAATATATATCTAGTGCTAAATTGAAAGGCAATATTATGTTATATTAAAGGGACTTTGGCTACTAACCTGGCAAACTAAATTGATAAAGTTTAGGACTATGTTTAGTTCTACACATGATTAGTCTGGGCCTAATCCTATCGAATCAGGTAGAGGAAAGGAGCACCATTCAGCAGAACTTTAAAATCAATGGGCAAAGCGACATCTAGTGCCAGCCTACAAAAGTTTGGTTTTAGCCACTCACTGTAACAGATGAGACACCATGAGACACCAGAAGTTGCGCTTTTAATACTCTTTCTAAAATGAAATTGTGGCTTCTGACAAAAGAGGTGCTAAAAGTAGCTAGATGTGCGTCCTTGCTTTTTATCACATATATATACATGCCCAGCCTTAAACAATGGTCCTGCAACATGATTGGCTGGTCTAAATGATTGAAGCGGGATCAAATTAGATTTCTGTCTGAACACACAGAATATTATTGTTTTCTTTCTTTTTGAGAAATAAAACTTTAACATTAAACTGTAGATGAATTTGGTAGTTACCAATGATGCTAAAAGGTCACATAGGTAAAAGTAGCTATTTTTTAAGGAAGATTTGGTTGTTTGTGCTTTTGATACATTGTAGGGCCAATTTTCTGGGAAAATAGCATGTTGTGGGGACATACTGCCCCTTGTGGGCCCCCATGTCTGGACTTAATGAGGGGAAACAGCTAGTTTATGGTCATGGATCACATTTAGGACTGTTGTGTGAAGTTTGGCTAAAGCATAGGTATGAACCTGTACAGGTTGTGGTTAGGGGGTAAGGGTCATGGTTAGGCTGTAGAAATGGGTTAAAAATGAATGGGAGTCAGTGGAAAGTCCCCACAAGGATAGAGGGATGGGATTGTTTTTGTGTGTGTTGGTTCAGTGGGGGTGGGTGGATTCAAAGGAGAGGCTCACCTGCGGTCCCATTCAGTCAGAGCTTCCCTTGTATCCTCACATGCTGCAAAGCAAACCTGATAATGTTTCTCATGTTCTGTTTTAATAAGCAATCGCCTTAAGCTGCCATGAAAACGTGTTGCCCCAAACTTTACACAAAATAATCTGTCCTGTTCCTTCTCTCTAAACTGCTTCAAATATTTTAATCTGGTTTAATGACGTGTGTTGTACAAATCAGATCACTCAAACACTTGACCCAGTTGTTGTCGTTGTGCATAACATGGAAAACATTTTTTTTTCAATTGTCAACTTTTTAAATATTCTCTTGTCAAGCTTGTATCCCAAGACATATAGTGAGAGGAACAGAATCAAATGTTTGAGTTATTTCTAACTTTCCCACAGACTCGTTGTAGACTCTGTACTGGGATTAATCCGAAGATGAAAATCTAAACGGCTCAACATTTGCTTCTTTTTCAAGTTGCGACTACAAATAATAGGTCTTTTTCTGGGTTCATATCAGTCAGGTTAAGCCTTCAGAGTTGACTCATGATGGTGTGAGATTGCTTATCAGCAGTTCAATACAGGCAGATCTTGCTTTTTTTTTTTTTTTTTTTTTCTGTTTACTTTTGTACCGACAGTTAAGATGTGTCTAAACTAGCCTTGGATCCTTTTTTAACGACTTGGTTTTTGAGTTCTGAAACAGAAAGTTAGAAATGAAGATATCCCTCCCTTATGCAATAAAAAATCTGCATACAACTCTATAAACCACAGGGAGCCTGGAGAATTTTAATAGTGAAGAGAGTTCTGTTAATCATGCATTCATGAGAACTGCAGCCAGTGTTTGTCAAGGAAGGAGGCCTTCTTGGCAGACTGCACTTTAAAGAACTGAGCAACAGGTATCAAACCAGCTCTTATGCCTGTAGATTTCGCCTAGAATAAATTTAACTTCTTGAACGATTTGAGATAGTATCTTTAAATGTTCAAATGTCCGATTTTCTAGCTGCAGTAATCAATGTTTTGGAATTTACTTGTTGCTATAGTTTATGTGGCAGTCTGTTTATATCAGTTTTTCTTTTTTCCAAGTAAAGAAACATAAGAAGATAAATAGTGCCTTTGTGAGTAACCGCTACTGTCCTTTAAACTTTATTTATATTTAGTCATGTTGTAAACTTCATTGTGTTCTATTATTTTCACGTGACAACGTTGCATATGATGTGAACTGCAATGAAAAAGAGTTTAAAATGTTTTGAACAGTATTCTAATTTCAGCAAATTATTGCATTTACTTCAAAAACCTTTTGACTCACAAACATTTGAATCCCTTTTTGTAATAAAGAGATGGAGAGGAGAGCTATGCTTTAACCTGAACTCTCCATCTTAGCCAGGTCTATGATGAGTGGAGAGTAAACCACTAACTCAGTCTATTCTCTTTTTGTGGGTTTTTTTAAGGCTCTAACATTTTTGGGGAATTAGCTTTTAACTCCCAACTCTGACAAAGTACCCTATCCCTGGTAAGAAAGGGTATTCACCACTATACTTCCTCTTCCTCTCCCTCAATCAAAATTAGGCCTGTGTGTTCAGGGTGTTTTTCACTGTAAATCTTCCATTGCACATACCATTTTGCATACAGGCTGATAACATAAACTTTGATCTAATCTTTCCTGGACACCTCCTTCCTTATATTTGTTGTTTCCCTTTCATGATTTGCATCAAACTACAAACAGAATGGTATTTTTGTTTTCTATCAACTGTTTCTTTCTTCTTGCATCTCTTGCCTAAAGGTAATATCTATAAAGTACATCACTAGAAATAAAAACATAAGTATTGATATCGGAAGTTGGTGTGATACCAGCTTAAAAGATTACTATTGGATGATACCGGCTTGCATCTAATATCTTCCACATAAGCACAGAGATAGAAACTCCCAGGGTCCTGCTCTGTGATTTAGGCCACTCCAGCATTTCTATCCAGCAATTCAGGAATATCCAGGAATTTCTATTGTATCTAGGGATGCACCGAAATGGAAATTCTTGTCTGAAACCCGAAAACAAGACCAAGGCCGAAAAACTAAAAACTGAAAGAAGTTAAATATTGAAATCCTGGCATTTTTTTTAAAACATTCTGTATTATCCCTATTTAAAAAAAAGTCTTATTTTTAACTCAATTTCAATAAATTATAAATTATGCAATGATAAAAGTACATAAATATTTATTTACCACTGACAACTGAAAGAAGTTAAATATTGAAATCCTGGCATTTTTTTAAAACATTCTGTATTATCCCTATTTAAAAAAAAAAATCTTATTTTTAACTCAATTTCAATAAATTATAAATTATGCAATGATAAAAGTACATAAATATTTATTTACCACTGACATTCTTTTGTCATGCCCTTTATCTTAGCAGAGTCTCTGGGCAACTTGCTGGTGTTTTTAAACTCATCCACCACAGAAAAAAGTGGGCAAGTTCGGTGTCAGTTTCCTTTTTTGAGTTCTCCCCATTCTTCTCATATTCAGATTGTTGATGGGGACGTTTGTATTTCTAAAGCGTTATTTTTGTGCCGCTGACCTGAGCATGCGGTGAGACCTATATGAAGAATTTAAAATTGCACCCCTCCTAGATTTCAGAGACTACGTCCTCCAAGGACCCGGTCTACCTGGACTGGGCCATAAAAATAAGAAGGCCATAAGAGTGGCTGCAGATTCAAACAGCCTTCTCTGGCTTCCACATTCATTTGGAGGACTAGCTGCTGGATCTGAACACACCAAAAATCTGTCTACCGCATGCTCAACTCTGAAAAACAGTGCAACATGTGCTCTCTTGCTTCAGTGCTTTATTTCACACACTCAATGTTTCTGGCCTTTGCTTTTGATAATTTTTCCACAGTGCTGGATGTGCTGTTTATCACATCATTGCAAGTTTCAGCCGTGTTGTTTTGGTGTTAAATGTCTATTGACCAAAAATGCCCTTTTTGGTCAATCTCGGTTGAAAGTTTTGGTGCATCCCAACTTGTGTCCCACACCCTGAGCCAGCATTATCATAATGACAACAGCTCAGCACAAAACGTTTGTCTCACAAGTTTCAAATCATCTAAATACTTCATTTTTATGAAATTAAATAAGAAATAGATTATTGATACCAAAGGGAAAGTAAATGTTACAATTACTCATAGAGTTACTGTAACAAGTTTTTTTTTATATCTTGGTAGCTGCAGTTAGAAAGGATCTTCTCTAGCGGTCTGTTCTACATTGGATCTGGAGAAGTCTTTTGAGTCTTGAGACCAAACTCTTCACAAATGGTTAGTAGAAAATATGGAGCATTTTTCTGCAAACACGGAATTACTTAAGCTTCCTTATGAAGGACAGTCTCCTGTGTCCCTTATTGTAGACTGTACTTTACTATCTCTCTTTACTAATGTTCTTGTCCATTTCTGATGTACCTGACAACTGCAGAGTCATGCAAGTATTTCTTGAGATGGCAGGACTCTGTCCTGTACTGGAAGTTGGAGGTGTAAAAAGTAAGAATTAATGGTGAGAATACTGTCCCCTTGTTGCTCCTTCAGTGTTAAGAACTGCTGTCTATTTATCAAGTAGTCTGTGATCCATGTGATTGTTGAGGCCACCACCCGAGTCTTTAGGAGTTTCTGATTAATCACGCTGAATCGTGTTAAATGCTCTGAAGAAATCCTAGAACATGATTATATTTCTAGTACTGTTTGCCTCTTCTAAATGACAGTGGGTTTTTTGAAGCAGGTGTATGAGGAAATCTTCAACTTGGAATGACATCTTCAACCCCAACTCAGCAATAAGCAAACTGCAGGAGGTCCTGATAGCAACTTGTTTGCTTGGTCAGGTGGACCAACAGAAGTCTCAAGGATCTTTATGATGTTGGATGTCAGGGCAAAAGGTCTGTAGTTGTTG